ATACAAATGTTTAGCCATACGAGAGCATTGATCAGTCATATCCTAGCCAATCTTTCTCTTCAATCCAGCAGAGAAGACACCATGTGATTTGGATTCTGACAAAGACCTTGAGAAGCAAGACTCGACACTATCAGAGTTTAACAATGTACAAAACCAAGATTGGGCAACATTAATATTAAGTTATTGTTTTGCTACCGGTATTGCTCTTTTCGGTCTTCATCTTCAAATTCAACCACAAAATGTGTAGTTAATATTAAGTTATTGTTTTGCTACCGGTATTGCTCTTATCGGTCTTCATCTTCAAATTCAACCACAAAATGTGTAGTTAATATTAAGTTATTGTTTTGATTAGTTATTGTTTGCAGTGGTCACTTTCTACATGGCCATTTTCATCATGCTTCCTTGGATTTTGAAAGTGTTGGCACTCGTTCTCCTCACTATAGTGTTGTTCTTCGGTTTTCATTTTCCAGAGAAACACAACTACAACTGTCAAGGCTTGACAAATTTAGCTTAGCTTCCAAATTAATACTCATTGAACGTAATCAAGTTCTTGTTTCCTTGTAACTCCTTTTCCACTGGGTAAATAAACCTCAAGAAAAATCATTTATAGCAGTCAACTTCAACTATTGATCCACCATGGTATCCTAGAGGATAAAACCAAGTTATAGTATATTTATTTACTACTATACCTGTATTACTGTATATAGATAAATAATCCTGATCAACTGCGGCAACCTGTGTTTGGGCAATTTGGAAACGAAGCAGCGTAACGAGAAGGTTTTCGGCTTGCCAGATTGCTGATGGAGGTGAAAGCAACAATGTTGGAGGTGAAAGCAACAATGTGTTTTGGAGCGCTAATTGGTATGGAAGAAAACATTATATATGTTTTTCAAGATCTACTTCTCAGATGGCACACAGATGAGGTGATCTTTTTTAACTCATGGACATTTCATCTTTCTGTTATCTACCTGACACTGCTATTAGCAGGCGCGCTGATAGAGATGCTGGACTGGGTTCTTCCATCTCTTGGACTAATAGAGATGGCATAGGAAGGACAGAAAAACATTTCAATCTACAATTGGTAGGGGTGCGCCAGGCCTTTGCAGTAGTGCAACACAAGGGCGACGCTTGAGAGTCCCAACAGCAAGCTGTTGTAGTGGACTCCCCCTAGAAGTAAAAATTAATTTAATATCGTGTGAGGCGATGCCCCACGTATCAGATATTAAACTGATAAGAACAGATACTACACTTGATCTTAGCCAAAAGGCCGAGAAAGGTATGCTCTTCCTATTGTTCTTGTTTGCCTTTTGTAATCACGAGCAATCGTCGTTATGTTCTCTGTATTCATTGTGGGACTAAACCTGGTATTTACATCTTTACGGCACGGCATGTTAACATACTTAGTTGGGAGTAATTAGCCAACCATGTTAATCATTTTTCAGCTAAAATTTCATTGGACTGAAAATTTAACAGACACGTAAGCAGCCGTTAGCATGAAATCTAACAGATTGTATAACGTGAGAATTTTTTGAAAGTACATTGATAAGTAGGACAGAAATTTTGTTCATCGTATTAAGTGAGAATTTGAGTAAAGTACATTCTATATATTATCTATTTTACCTTTCTGTATGTGGTTTTTCATCTTGTACCTGACGATGCTCTCAAGCATGCTGATCAGGCTGTATGATTTTCTGACAGGAGATATATAAATTTCAAAAACAAACTGGCAAACTGTAACAGCCCTGGCAGGAATGCCTGACAGTTAACAAATGAAGTAACAGGATAGAAAAGCTCTCTTCAGGTGTCAGGCCTTTTGTCTAGAGTATTAATTCATGTTATAACCTCCTACTACAAACATGAGTTCCTATAAGCACACAGTTTATGCCTTTATGGTATGCAGTTAAACATTTGCATTAAGATTTGGCAAGGGCCGCACAAACGCGTACCCCCTCGGCAACAAATTATGACGTAGACTATCCCACTTGGGGATATCTTAGGCCAGCACCCCTCCTGAGTGCAATGGAGGTCACTAACCTTCTTGATCGCCCATCGACCCTGTCCAGGTAAGTATGTTGTATTGTTGGCTTTCCTTTCATTTTATACATCTACGTCTTCGTACATATAGGCATATCTTACTAATGTGGGACTATCAAGTATCCTACTAACAATTATCGGGTAGATCAATAGCACC